TGTATTGAATCTAGATGCACTCCCAACTCCAGGGGCCCGTTTCAATAAGGAGGTTCAACCAACTCTGAGTTAAAGCTTGAACTCAGAGTTGACTTACCCTGAGATGGGAAACTCTGAGTTTTCGGTTACAGAACAGCTGAAATGAGTTAGTTCAATCAACTCTGAGTTGACTGACTCTGAGTTAAGCGCGTGCACCACAGCTATAAAAAGCCATTATCAATGGAGCGCAGATATTATGAGTCACCATGGCAACAGCGCAAACAGACCAGACTCTTTTTGTCAAACCAGACAAAAAGAGGTGTTGGGTATAATTAATTACCAAGTAATCTAAATATTGTAATTTAATTAAAGGGAGGATTACTCTTAATTCTTTTTTAATTTAAAATAAAATATGATGCAATTACATTAAATAGGCTACTGCCTAAACTATAGACCAATTCAGTATAAAACAATAGTGGATTTAGCATACATTTTTAAAAGGTATATTTTTATATAACCTTCTCCCTCTACACACTTTGATCAATTCAAGAATAATTCATGCAATTCTATTGTTAATTTGAAAGCATTAAAAGTGCAGTTTCTTGTCTCTCCTCCTTGTATTAATCAAGTGGTTGAGGTTGATGTAGGATTTAGTAATATGTAGACCAATACTTTCTAGAGATAGTAATTATTACATTAATCTAACTACACCGTTGAAGATGTCATTTGTTGTTAATAATTCATAACTATTTTAGAGTAACTGTTATAATATCAGAGGTAACTGGAAGAATGTTATTCAACCTAAAGTAGTCTACTATTACTTTGATACATTTTTACTTAAGTAAAAGTAAAAATACCAGTCTAAAAAATCTACTCAAGTAAAAAGTAGTTAATTTAAAACATGAGTAAAAGTTGCTGAGTAACTTGTTTAACAGCGGGGGTGGGGTGGGGTGGGGGACTCCCCCATGTGGGGTTGTAACGTATGAGAGTTTCACAGTATGAGAACCGTCTCAGAAAATATCACGGTTTATGGTATTAAACAATTGTTAAATATATAAACTGCATTATTAAATTACGGTTATTATTTTCATCAGTTAAAATGACAGTTAAATAAATTAAACATTTGTTCAATAAAACATAATATCAACTAACTTCAATAATTGATTATGATTGACATCTTATTTTTTATCATTAATAACTTATTAAATTTTATTACAATTTTTTCAATGATTTAATAGAAATATATTATCCAAAACAGTGGTAATCAAATAAAAGTTTAGCAAATGTTTTAATCCTTTTATTTTTTGGCAAAGTGCTGCAAAACAGATTTAGTCAATTAAACCATGGACAAACAATATATATTCCTTAAAGAATGTGTAAATACATTTTAGTATTATTGTTGGTGTTTAAACAGCACTTCCTCTTTAAAAAAAGGGGAGGAGACCGCAAGAAACTCTGGGTTTACTGAAGAAAACCTGCTCCCGACCAGGTTAGGTTCACAGAGTAAGTTACCATGGTAACTGACTCTGAGTATAAGTTACCTCTCTTTCAGAAACGGGCTTGACTTACTCTGCTTTCTCGGGTTTGATATACCCCCCTTTCTGAAACGGAAAACCCAGAGTTTCCCTCATTTCAGGGTTAACATACTCAGAGTTTTCACTTAACCTCCTTTCTGAAACAGGCCTGACCTCCTTTAAACGTCTCTTGCCCAATGTTTTAAAGGACAAGTGCAATTGTTTTTCTTAACTCGTCTTTATCCATGTTGTTTGCGATGTGTAAATTGTGGTATTTTATAGGGCTGGGTAAAAATATCGATTCATCAATGCATTGCAATTTTTTGCTTCTCAATTCAATATCGATTCATCAAATCCTATGAATCGATTCAGCCATCCAGGCCAGTGGCGGCGCTGTGGGCTACACTCTAGTGAGAGCGTTCTGCGTTGTACAAGTCGCGCTTTAGCCCTTAGCAAAACAGCGCGATGACGGACAGCAGCAGCACTCCGTTCAAGCCTGATTCAAGACTGCACCGCCAACATTAAAAGCCGACTTTTGGGCTCATTTTGGATTCCACTGTAAGCCGGGAACTATGGAAGCTTGTTTCCGCCACAGAATGGAAAATAAAAAAGGTAATTGCGACTTTTTATCTCACAATTCTGACTTTTTTTTTCTCACAATTGGGAGTTTACCTCTCGCAATTCTGACTTTATTTCTCAGAATTGCAAGATATAAAGTCAGAATTGCGAGATATAAAGTCACAATTGCGTGATATAAAGTCGCAATTGGGTGTTATAAAGTCAGAAATGCATGATATAAAGTCAGAATTGCGTGATATAGTCAGAAATGCATGATATAAAGTCTATGAGATATAAACTTCTGAGAGGGAAAAACTTAAAGGTTAGTATTTTTCCCCCCTTAGAATTGGCCTGATAACTCGCAATTGCTGTTAAGTGTGATCAGCTATTAAGTGTTATTGTTTACAAAATTATAATTAGAATATAATATTGCACTTTTTTGAGTATGCACATTTTGTGCTTCTGTTTACATTTCTTTTATAACTTGTATGTATAGGAAGAAAGAAATATACTTTCTACTACTTAGTTACTTGCACTTTAGAGGTGTTGTTAAAGCACTGTACAGTGCTTGTCACAGTTGTGTTTGAATTCAACACATACAATATTGTACATTTTTATTCTGCTGAATAAACCATGACAGGAAACAAACATGCTGGGGTCAATTTGTTCTTTAACATTGGTAAAACTGCGCACATTACTTAAAAAATATACTCAGGCACTTAATTACTTGTGTATTTACTTATTATTGAATCGATATCGAAGTTAATAAGTCAATATTGAATCGAATCGAAATCGAATCGAATCGAAGCCTCAAGAATTGAAATCGAATCGAATTGTGAAATACCTAACAATACCCAGCCCTAGTATTTTATTCTGTGATTCTTGTGTATGAAACTTCTTGTGCTGCTGTCTTGACCAGGTCTCTCTGGAAGAAGAGATAGTAATATCTCAATGTGACTTTCCTGGTTAAAATAAAGGAAATAATAATAATAAAGGTGTTGACTAGGCAATGTTTTTATCCCATCATTGACTTCGTCAGATAACTCCACTGTTCGATATTACACTAGACTTGTTAGATTCACTGTTTGCGCTCCAAACTCCTCTCGTCTTTAAGCAGCAGTCATCCATTTTCACTATTTTGTAGCCGCTGCACTGGCGCGAGCGGGCTTAGAATAAAAAGACCGTTATCGGTCGTTGGTGTGGACCATAGACTGTAAAAAAAGATGGACGACGCCCCTTCGCTCTTTTCCATCAGAGAGAACCGAGGCCGCCAGTGTCTCGATATGACGCTGACATCTTGGAACTTGAGTCTGCGCACTTGCGTGTTTCAGGACCAGTCATGCGCAGTCGTTAGCAGGAAGTAAAGCCGCGAAATCAAGGCCACGCCCTCATTCTCGCTGAATCAAACGCAAGCACACGCCCCGCACTTTCATTAAGTGTCCTCTGTCTGCTTCGTTCTTCTACAATGATGTCTGCTGATTGCAGAACCTCGTTCAAATAAGGTAAATACAACTACTAACCACATAATCAACATTATTAAATAAAAGTCCGCCGGTGCTTCAGTGACTACCTCGCACAGAGAACCTGTCAATCATGATGTCAGAGCACCGTTTTTTATCATCACATAACAAACTAAAAACAAACTTATTTTAAAAACGAACACTTGAAATTACATCAATGTGATAGAAACTACAGTGAATGACAGAAACTATCTTTGGAAAAAGGATATGTGAAGTGTAATTTAATTGTTTAGTTGGTCTCGCGTCCCATTGAATAACATGGGGAGGCGGGGGTTATGAGCTATACTAGGTCCGGTCACAGGGGGGCGATCGAGACGTTTTGGCTTCACTTTTGAGGGCTTGTGCGGCACGCTTGGTGTGGACGCATATTTCTGCAACGTCGCGGCTGACAGAATGAAGAAATTACACTGGTTATGAGTATACATTATTTATTTTTAGTTAAAAATAGGTCACTGTGCCACAAGCGATAACGGGTAATTTACCTCAGATTTTGAAAGCATGTAATAATATAGCGTCCAAAATGAATTCTATGCAAACATACAACTGTACTTCATAACACAATTAGTCAATGAGTATATTTTGTTAATGTTTAGATTTTTAATAATGTTATTTCTTGATTTGATTATGTCCTTACCCATTTCCAATGCGAGTGCGGGCCAACAGTGCGCTTTCACAGAGAGACTCTGCTCACACCATAGGCTCGCACGCTGTTCTGAATGTGTGGCGTCTCACAGTCGCGTCGCGTCTAGTGTGGACAGACTCACTTGCTGTCGCTGGAAATTTATCGCGCCGCGTGTAGTTCGGACACGGTGTTACGTCGCAGTTGTTTTTCAGATTTTTCCAGATAGATATAACAAATTAACGGGGAAGTGTTTGTTTCCATAATCTTATTTTCTGAGTAATAAGATGCGAACTCCAACCTGATTCTGCAACCACAGTGAGCATCTGAGGCCTGCGAGTGGAAGAAAGTCTGTCAGTTGTACTATGACATGTTTTCCACTGCTGATGTGGGTTTAACCATTTCAGACTTGAATCAAGTGCCTAAATAATGACAGAACACTTATTATCAAGGGTCTCGAAACCAGTTTTGAGTCACGCACAGATCATCATTGTAAAGACCATGATATTATCACATATCCTTAACACAGCTGCAGAAGTTTGATTGACAGCTCTAGATAATGATGCAGTTTGGATTTAAATCAGTCACACTGATCGGCCAGTCACTCATAAATCTCACACACTCCTTCTACAGAGATCAGAAAACTGATCAAACTGGCTTTGGGCCGGACATGGTTGCTGTGGTGCAAAATCACCCAGAAATACTTAGTAACGGGTGTTTTTATACTTCCCTTTTCTCAGGCTCTGAGACTGTCAACACTTGTCTATAATCTGACAGTATTTCATAATGTTTGGTTTAAAGTGATCTGCATAAAGCCCAATTCAGATCCAGCATTGAAATGAATCGCTTCTCATTCAGTCTGATGTAGATTTGCATCCATTCCTATATAACCAGCCATCTGTGTAATGTAGTCTACATATGAACATGTCTAATAAGAGTTTTCTTAATGTATTCAAGGCTCTTTATTATGAGGAACTCTTTCACAATTTCTTAAAAGACGATATAGTTTTGGTTTATTTATTCGGTTCTAAAGTCAGGGAAGTATAAGCAGGAAGGGTTGTTTGGTGCCACGACTCAGACCTGTGAACTACGGTTTCTTCTGTTCAGGAAGTGTTGAGTCTATAAGACTGGCTGTGAGTTTGACAGTGTGTCATTAATAGACCAGTATGGAGCTCAGGACACTTCCTCTAATGCTCTGTGAGTATATATCGAGTCTTTGCTTCATTGGCACATTTTGTATAATAATAGTGAATCGCTGTTCATCTGTATTTCATATTTTTATGCACTGAATCTGTTTTTCATTTATGCTGCTAATAATTTCAGTATCAAATCAATCTGTAGCTCCTGATATCCACACTGTCAATTTATTGTAAAAAAAATAATATTCTTTTATCCTGTGAATTCCTGGTGATTTTTTAAAGTGTGTGTGTGAAAGTGAAAATCGGTCTAGCTGAATGAGATCAGTGTACACTCTTAGAAAAAAGGGTTCTATATATGGACTGTATACCATAGGGCTCTTTATTGAACTGCAAAGGACCTTTTATGCAAAAAAAAAATGATGATAATGACAAGAAAGAACCCTTTTGGCTCAAAGGTTCTTTATAGGCTATTATTCATTCATATATTACATCATTCTGCAACATTTTGCAGTTGTAATTAATTAAACTGTTGTAGGAACTTTAATCATGCTGATTTTTGAAGGATAAAAACTGAAATGGCACTCTTCGTGTGATCTTGATTAATTAAATTTTTTTTAACCCCCATATCTTGAATTTTGTGATCATTCATGCATTGCATTTTAGGGGTTCCAAATACGAAGCGCTTTAGAACCTTTTAAGGTTCTATATAGAACCTTTTCTTAAGAGTGTATTGATCATTACTGCGATTCGACAGTCGTTCAGTTATGGGTTGTAATGGTTGTTGGATCAAGTTAGTTTGTTGTCTTCAGCAGATCTTCAGCATCTCGGATCTGTAGCATGTGGATCTTTAGTATATCTTATTATTGTTGTGGTGTGCTGACTGACATTAATTAGCAATGATGTCACTTCCTATATGAAACACTGATGGCACGCAAAATAAGATCTGCAGCTTCTCTTCACTTTGTGGTGTCAGTTGTATCATGACAGCATCACATAGATATTCTTAGCAATGATTATTTCACATTTCCTCTTTCATGCTCAATATCTCCAGTTATTATTGACTGCATATAGATGTGAAAGAGTCAAGATCTCTTGCATCAAATCAGCATTGTCACTCCTTCTGTTTTTTCTGTTTTAAAAAGTTTTCTGCATGTTTTAATTTATCTCGTGTGTGCGTGTGTGCGTGTGTGTGTGTGTGCGTGCGTGCATGCATGTATGTGATTTGTCTCTTTTTTGCTTTTTAGTGCTGATTTCAAACATCCGCCCTGGACAAACTCAAGGTGATTTATACATTTATATTTTCTTCAAATCTTATAACACAGTGGAACAGAAAGCATTTATAGCACTGTGTCGATTGTTCATGACCTTTATTGGGTCCTTAATGAAACAGCTGAGCTGTGTATGAAACAAATGTCTTGTATGTGTAATGTATTTTATATGATGTTATAGAGAGACTAAAGGCTGTAGTGAAGACAGAGCCCGGCAGAAATGAAACCGTCACTGCCAGATGTGAAATACCAGGAGATGCAGACGACTGGACATACAGCTGGTTTATAGACGGATCATCTCGGCCCTTCAGCACTGACAGAGAATTCCGCCTCATATCTGATGAAGACATATTTCAGAGACGCAGCAACGTCACCTGTAGAGGAGAGAGAAGAAGTGATGGACAGAGGTCAGAGATCAGTGACGCTGTTACACTGACATTATCATGTGAGTCTGATCCTCTTCACTGCAGAAATAAGTTACACTGAGACGTGATAAGAAGGGCTTTTATTTGCACAGAAGAAAAGGAGGTGGTTGTAAAAATATAAAAATAAAGTGAGTGTATTGTCCTCAGCGAGCAGGGCATGATGTGTCAAGAGGAACAGTACTGATATTTTAATTGTGTTGCACAATAACTGGACAGAGACAAGAAATGCACACACTGCCATTTTCACTCTTCTTTATCTTGGTTTATTTGTGTTTTATCACAAAATATCAGTTCCAGCGAGACCTAAAGCTGTTCTGACTGTTCAGCCTGAACCATCACTGATACTCAGAGGAGAGACTGTCACTCTCACATGTGATATACTGGGGGAAGGATGGACATATAGATGGAGGTGTGGAGATACACGGCACAACTCTAAAGAGAAAGAGTTCAAGATCACCACAGAGATCACACTGAAGTGCCAGTGTTACGGCTGCGGAGCACCAGTCTGCTCTTACTGGAGTGATGAAGTGACTCTGACTGTGTCGGGTGAGTGATCATCACTGATAGAAAGGATATTGCTCAAATAATAGATGAAAAACTGCAACTAAAAAAAACTGTATTAGTAAACATTTCTAGATGCTGCATGTTTGACAGAGTGAATGCGAGTTACAGTGAGCATCTGATTTTACAAGCAATGTCTCTCAGGATCTGAATATTTATAAATCTTCTTTATGAGAGCTCTCATGTTGAAACATAATACAATTATTACCCATAATGAGGCGAGTTATTACTCTGAATTTTTGTGTAATTATACTCAATTATTACTCTGAAGGGTGAGGTAAAATTAAGATGCATTGAATAAATGACAGAAGTCATAAACAGTGATAGATGATGACTGAAGACTGTATTTTAACAGAAGATCGTGAAATAGTTGGAGTCAAACCCAGAGTAACAGTGACGCCCCAGAGTTCAGTGTTCACTGGAGACACAGTTACTCTGAGATGTGACGTGAGACTCTCATCTGGACGGGGGATTATCTGGTACAAAGACTACCAGACAATAAAATCTGGTGTTGATACAGTAACACTGAGCGACGTGAGAGTCTCTGATGGAGGAGATTACTGGTGTGTTGTACTAGGAGAAACACAAGGTCCAAAAGTCACGCTAACAGTAAGAGGTAATGTGGCAAACTGATTTAATAAGAGTAATATTATTCAGATTAATGTCATCCATCAACAGTATCATGTCCGGTCAGTTTAATTAAACACAGTTCATTCCTCACAGAGAGACCCAAAGCTGTATTGCGTGTTCAGCCTGACGGACGAGTGTTCAGAGGACAGACGGTCACTCTCACATGTGACATACAGGAGACAGACGGCACTAGCTGGACCTACAGCTGGAATAAAGATCATTCACAGATTCATGTCAGTCAATCACAGGAATACAGAATCAGTTCAGTTGATGAATCTCACACAGGTCATTACAGCTGTAGTGGAAGAGAGACGCGAGGATCACGATACACACACACCAGTGATGAAGTTACACTGACGCTTTCAGGTGAGTGTGTGAATCTCTCCTGCACATCAGTCTGATTTTACATCCGTGGAGATCAGTGTGTCTTTTTATACTTCAACAAAACAAGTGCTATTAAAACTCTTATAAAGGGCCAGTGATAGGAGCGTGTGGCATAATATGTGCATTCAAGAATAATTGTATGATATTTTAAGTATGAAATATAAATGATGAACAGTGACAGACATGATTGATGGATGTAAATGTTGGTTTAAAAGTTGGATAATGTTTGTCAAACTCTAAAATGAACAAAGAAATCACTGAGACCGACATCACAAGAATATTTCTTTAATGGAAAGGTTTAAAATAATAATAATAATACATTTTATTTAAAGCGCCTTATCAGGACACCCAAGGACACTGTACAACGCAGATAAAAAAAAACATTAAAACAAAACAATAAAATTGGCAAGACAGCATTGGTGTGATATGGGTCAGACGGAATATGATTGTCTAAACAACAGAGTTTTGAGTTTGGATTTGAAAACATTAAATGAGTCAAGGGTACGAAGATCTGGAGGGAGGGAATTCCAAAGATGGGGAGCAGAGCGACTAAAAGCCCTGCCCCCCATTGTGACAAGCCGAGCCGGGGGAACAGAAAGCTGGCAGGTGTGAGAGGATCGGAGTGAACCAGTAGGGATGTTTAAATGGAGAAGATCTGATATATATGAAGGAACCATGTTGTGAACTGCTTTGAAGGTGATGAGAAGTATTTTTAAAAATGATCCTCTGTTTAACAGGAAGCCAGTGAAGCTGTTGCAAGATGGGAGTGATATGATGAGAAATGGGGGTCTGAGTAATCAGGCGTGCAGCAGAGTTCTGTAGGAGCTGCAGCTTCCGGAGCGACTTATTAGGGAGGCCAAACAGAAGTGAGTTGCAGTAATCTAACCGAGATGTGATGAGGCTGTGAACCAGGATGGCGGTGGTTTTGGGAGTAAGAGAGGGACGGAGGCGGGCAATATTGCGCAGGTGGAAATAGGCTGACCGGGTGATGCTATTAATGTGAGAGTGGAAAGATAAAGTGCTGTCAAGGACGACACCCAGACTCTTAACCTGGGGAGAGGGAAGGACAGTTGAGTTATCAATGGTAATGGAAACTTTATTAGCTTTGGAGAGGGTATGAGGTGTGCCCACCAGGAGGACTTCGGTTTTTGAGCTGTTCAGTTTGAGAAAGTTGGAGGAAAACCAAGAATGAATTTCTTGGAGACAGAGGGTAAGAGAGGTTGGTGGGAGTAAAGAAGATGGTTTAGTAGAAAGGTAGAGCTGGGTGTCGTCCGCGTAGCAATGAAATTTGATGTTGTGCTTACGGAGGATGTAACCAAGAGGGAGGATGTAAATGATAAAAAGGAGAGGCCCCAATACAGAGCCTTGGGGCACTCCAGCGGAGACGGGGAAGGTAACGGATTTCTGGGTTTTTAGTTGTATGAACTGTTTCCGATCTGAAATGTAGGAAGTAAACCAAGCTATAGGAGTGTGGGTGATACCAATAGATGATAATCGACTGAGGAGGATGGGATGAGAAATGGTATCAAAAGCTGCAGTGAGGTCCAAAAGAATGAGAATTGAAAGTAACCCAGAATCAGAAGCCATAAGAAGGTCATCTGTAGTTTTAATGAGTGCGGTTTCAGTGCTGTGAAGGGGACGGAAGCCTGATTGAAACTGTTCATAGATGCTATTCGACATGAGGTGATTATGAAGTTGAGAGGCGACAGTTTTTTCCAACATTTTGGATATGAAGGGTAAGTTCGATATGGGACGGAGATTGGTCCAGACCTGTTTTTTTCAGAATGGGTGTGACCGAGGCAATTTTAAGTGAGGGGGGGACTGAACCGGAGCTTAGGGAAGAGCGAATAATCTCAGTGATTAGAGGGGCAAGTGAAGAGCAGCAGGATTTAACCAAAGTGGAGGGAAGTGGATCGAGCTGACGTGGAGGGTTTAGATTTATTAATAATATCTGAGATGGCTTGAACAGAGGGAAGGTCAAAACTTGAAAAAGTAGTAGTTGGGTATAGATAAGGAGTGTTAAGGTTGTATCCAGAAGCTGCAGCTCCGGAGGAAGTCAGGTGATTATGGATGTCTGTAATTTTGGAAACAAAAAAGAACATAAGGTTATTGCAAAAGTCTTGGGATTGCATATGGTACGGAAGAGAGTCAGGAGGTTTTGTAATAGAAGTTAAAAGGGAGAACAGAGTAAAAGTAAAATAACAGAAGAAAAGTCAAATCTGGAGGCACTAGAGTACATCATTTTTATTATAGATAAGAAAATCTAACAAGTTTTGATGATGATGAAATGATTTTTTTGTTTTGCCAGTTCTCTCAGTTCTCAAACTGCTCAGTTTTCTGCTGGCAGCTTCTCCATATCTGCTCGTGACCATCATTATAGGAGTCAAATACTACAGAGCTCATGGTGAGATGCTCTCTCTCTCTCTCTCTCTCTCTCTCTCTCTCTCTCTCTCTCTCTCTCTCTCTCTCCTCTCTCTCTCTCTCTCTCTCTCTCTCTCTCTGATCTGTTCTCCCATAGATTAATTAGATCCACTATGAATAATGAACACTTATTCTTATCTTGTGTGTTTTCCAGCTCAGTCTGATGAGATTAATCAGTTTGCTGTAACGGAGGAGTGAAAGTCTGCTGTCCTGATGAATGAATCCCATTCTGTGTTTCTCTTTTTCAACATTATTCAGTTATATTCATAATGTGTCTGAATTTGACATAGATAAGGCTCAAATGAACTCTGCTGAGCTACTGCAGCTTCATTCTATCATATCTCTCTTGTATTTTTTCTTCTGTTTTTCAATGTTCTGAATGTTGAAGTAAATTGTCAAATGTTTATTCTCATTGTTTGCAGAAATTATTTTATAATTAATATAGCTGTCATTTTTATTTCAGATTAAGTTTTTATTTGTTTTACTATGGCTTGAATATCTGCTCTTTTTTAATAAAAAAAACAAATATCTTCAAACATATAGTAGAGATTTGCTCATCTTTCCCAAATATATCTTTAAAAAAAAAAAATCATATGGTTCAGCCTCAGCGAGCTACACTGCTCTAATTGGTCATATGACCAGTCTGTTGTGATTGGTCTACTGAGTCACATGGAATATTTAAACATTTTCTTCAATGACTTTCTGGGCCGTGAAGTTTCGATCCCTTAGTAGCCTATGTGGCAGTGATCCAGCTCTCAAATTTAATCAAAAATATCTTCATTTGTGTTCCGAAGATGAACGAAGGTCATACCGCGTTGGTACAGCATGGGGGTGAGTAATTAATGACTTCATTTTTGGGTGAACTCGATCAAAAGCTTTCGATGCATCAATTAAACGCATAAGAACTGATGAGTTTTAATCTCTATACTAATTTACTATTTCCTTTAAGGCATAAATGCACATCTGTACCGTGTTTAGCTTTAAGACCATATATAACCATCTATATAATATTATTATATAGATGGTTATATAACATCAAAGTAATATCATTCAATTTGCACACAATTAAAAATATTGCGATAATGCTGTCTCCATAACTCTGCAATATTGTCTGCTCCAGATAATAAGTTCCAGAAGTTCTCACCTCTTTACACAAAATCAGCAATATTATTATTTAACAACTTCATGGCCATAGAATCAGCCCTCAGGTTTCGCTAATTTTTTTTACGAATAAGGCGAATAGGAACGTTATATATTATCTAGCATGAGCAAGTTTCTTATACTCAAGCTCAAGCTCATACAAATCATTTACCCATGTCATTATTGTAACGGTCACCAGCTGGAGTGCCCTTGAGAGCCACCAGAGGGCGCTCCACACGGACTATTATCTCTCCCTCACAAACTACATTTCCCATAACTCACTGCCTTCACATGTCTCATTACCCTGTTAGTCTCAGCCTATTTCAACCTTGTTCACTCAGTCACTCACTGTGAAGTTTTGTATGTTGTTGCACTGCATTTCCGAGCGTATTCCCTGGTTTTATGTCTCTTGGTTTTTGGATTTCTTGCCTGTTCCTTGGTTTACTCTTTTGCCTCTGACCCCTGTCTGTTTTGTTTGTTTGGACTGCATACCTGTGTTTTGACCTATTGCCTGTATATTGGATTACGTGTCAATATGTTTTATTGCTAGAGTGGTCCTGACTGGAATTTAACTTGTGTGTGTGTGTGTGTGTGTGTGTGTGTGTGTGTGTGTGTGTGTGTGTGTGTGTGTGTGTTTCCATGAGGTTGGAATCGAAATGAAATGCATATTTACACAATATATAATTAATTGTATAATAATTGTTCATCATAAAATATCAGTATTATGTATATTCAAAATAACATCCAGTGTTGGGGAAGTCACTTTGTGATGCAAAGCATAAATCTTCATGTTATTACTGTACTTGCATCCAAAGTACCAATGCAAGTAAATATAGCAAAAGAGAGAGAATGACTATATCATACACACATGATGCAAATCAAACGAGAAGTTGCACAACTACTTTAATTTGGCTTATTTTTTTGGGCTGTGGTTAACTGGATCCTATATATGTAACACAAGTAACACCATTTTTATACATATAATAACGATAATTGGTTTATAAAGGGGGGAAATGTAAATAATGGTTATGAGATATATAATGTTGTGCCACATGTACCAGCATCAAGAGGAAACTGGAGGAGGGGCAAGGCAAACCACAGCCTGTCCAATGAGCCAAAGCAAAAGTGAAAGCATGCAAGAGCACCTATGTTCATGTCAAAGCCCAACACGACAACAGATTAAAGATGGAGAACGACCAGCACGATGTGTTTTTTGAGGCAAATAATCTCTCAGATGTGGATGTTAGACAAATACGCACATACTTTAGCTTAAAGAGAAAATCAGGAGGAGGACAGTGTGAGATCAGCAAAGTGGGGGACAACACCTACAAGATAAGTTTTATGAACAAAAAAGGTAAGGAAGTAAATGTTTTATTATTGCAGAGTTGTTTTTTGCACATTGTTACAGTCAGTGCTGAAAAATCTTGTGACTATTCGCTCTAATCGCTAGTTCAGGTTTGGCTGAAGGCTACAGTTTGTCCGGTCAGAACAATGATGTCTCACTCAGGATATATTCCAAATCGTTGTTTTATTAAATGTGCATAGATGTGTGGTTAGTGTGATGCATGCACACGCACAATCAGTAAAACTCCTCAGATTTGGCTAATACTCTGTATCTCACTCTAAAACTATATACACTTATTCAGCCGATCTACTTTTCCCTTCATTACCCGTCAACTCTCTTCACCGTCACTTCGCGAACTCCGGTGGAAAGTTTTGGAATAGTCCATTTCTCACTGAATGACAGGGGTGACTGGGAGAGTCCATGTGCCAAAGGGGAGCACTTTCTACAGCCGCCCCCAAATTCACAGTGTGAATTTGTCAACTTTAAGTGACTGCTACATTAAGTTCAAGGCTAGTCAGGTAGAGAGGGCAGACATATAATTTTGGCTACAGGTCGAGTGTAAGTCTTGCCGTTAACCTGTATTTCCGCAGATCTGACTCTCTTGTCCAACCCAGGAAAGACCTGAACAATTTTCCCTACAGGCCAAAGAGCGCGGGGCAGTTGTTGGTCCACGATCATGACTGTGTCACCGACCTGCAGATCAGTTTCTTCAGATTTCCATTTCTGTCTGATTTGGAGGTTGGGTAGGTAGTGTCGAATAAAGTGCCTCCAAAAGTGGTCAGCCAAGAGCTGGCTATGTCTCCATCTCTTACGGCTCAGGAGTTCAGAGTTTTGGTATACCACTTGCGGTAATGAGGCATCTCGCCGCCCCATCAACAAGATGTTTGGGGTTACTGGATCTGGATCCGCGATGTCCGAAGAAGTGTAGCCAATGGGTTTGGAGTTGAGGATTCCTTCTATTTCTATGAAGACAGTTCTCAGCACTTCTTCTGTGACCGTCTGGCTGCCAATGGTGACGTTAAGTGCAGCCTTCAAAGAACGAATTTCTCTCTCCCAACATCCACCGAAATGAGGTGAACTGGGTGGATTGAAGATGAATCTTATTTGTTGGCTAGCGAGTTGGGCTTGAAGCTCAGGATGAAGGGCAATGAATGACTCTTTCAGTTCCCTTTCTCCTCCTTTAAAGTTGGTACCTTGGTCGGACAGGAGCTCATAGGGTTTACCACGCCTGGAGATGAATCGCCGTAAAGCCATCAAGAAGGAATCTGTGTCAATGCTGGTGAGTATGTCTATGTGAACTGCACGGGAAGTCATGCATTTGAAGATGATTCCCCATCTTTTTTCATTCCTGCGTCCCACCTTTATAGTGTAAGGTCCAAAGCAGTCCATACCTGTTGAATAGAAGACAGGTTGATGGATCCTCAATCTCGCCGGTGGGAGGTCTGCCATTTTTGGTGGATGTGGTTGTCTTCTCCATCTCTGACACTCTGGACATTGTCGCTGATGGTTTCTGACTGCAGCCCGTCCCCGTATCACCCAGTATTTCCTCCGAAGTTCAGCAAACACCCTATCTGGTCCTGGGTGATGTAGCCGATCATCATAGTCCTTGATTACTAGTTTGGTAGTTGGGTGAGATGAGTCAAGGACAATAGGATGTATTGTATCTTCCTCTAACTGGCTGATCTGACGCAGACGACCACCAACGCGTATGAGTTTGGTGTCCTCATCAAATTCCGGGGCTAGGCACAGCAATCGACTATTTTTTGGCAAGGATTTACCTGCTCTGAGGAAGAACAGTTCGTCTGGAAATGAGTCAGTTTGGCTTTGCTGGAGTATTGCAAGTTCTGCCTCTTTGTAGTCATCTGCTGTTGGGATATCGGTGGCCGCCCCGTTGGCATACTGAATGTAAGCCTTCAGTAACTCTGGAAGTGTATGGTATTTCTGTGGATCGGGAGTGGGTGGAGTGGTGGTTGATAGGCCAATGAAGATTGGCTTTCTCAATTCACTATCCTGATCAGTGGTTGTAAATGGTGGCATCTCCGGCCAATGTTCAATTGTCTGTCTGAGGAATGTTGGCCCCTTATTCCATCTGCTTTCCTGGCCAATGTCACACAGCATTTTTCCCTTTGTGATGTCATCGGCAGGGTTCTCCTTTGATGGCCCGTATCTCCAGTTATCAGACTCCGTGAGTTCTTGGATTTCTGCCACTTGATCAGGATTCTTGTTCAGTCGATTCTCTACTCCCCTTAATTGTGGCAGGACAGCTTCTTTGGGAGCATGTAGACATGGCATATCTTTGGCACGTAAAAGAGGGGTCGCGTAGCGCTGGATTCTGTCAACCTCCACTCTCCCGGTTTTGTCCTGGAGAAGTTGAATGGACTCTTTGTCTTGTCGAGACCTTGTCAGTACCTTCTCGTTTTGATACGGAAGAATGTCCATTTTCCACAGTTTCTCCACATTTGCATAAATGTCATTAGTGGGCCGTAAGCTGGTGAAAAGACATTGCTGGGGGGAAAGTCTGCTGGTTAGTTCTTGCGCTGGGCCTTGTAGTGTCCATCCTAGGCGTGTTCTCACAGCTGCAGGGCCACCAGGTGGACCCAGTCTGACTGGTTCTATGGGTGTGATGAGGTGAGGGCAGTCAGAACCAATGAGAACCACTGGTTTCACTTTGTGAAGGTGCTGTAGTGGAAGGCCTGCAAGATGCTTGTACTTCTTCTGGAGTACCTTGATGGGATGAGTGTGCTCTGCTAAACCCAGGCTCTTGGCTGTGAATGCGCTACGTATCATGAAAGCCTTACGAGGGTTAGCCACTGAAGACACAGTGAAGGTCACAGCCGCCCCGTGAAGGGTCTGTGTATCTTGCCTGACAGTGCGGAGAACTAAGTCCTCTGGCTGACCCTTCAGATTCAACTTCTGTGCAGCTTCATGCAGGATGATGGTCCGCTCTGACCCATCATCGAGGATTGCATATGCCTCCATGGATTTGTTGCCATTTTGGAGTAGAACTTTAGCCACCTTCAGCAAAATTTTGTTATCACAGGTTGGACGATCTAGATACAAGACTGCACTGGCTGGAACCGATTCTTCTGTGGCTCTGCTCTGGTCATTTACATCATGTAAGGCCAGCAAGTGCTTTCTGTTACAAGATGGACAGAGGGCTTTCAGTGTACAATTAGCAGCATGATGACCACGCCCACAGCGCCAGCATCTATTTTGGCTTTTGATCCAATTCACCTTCTGCTCTTTGTTGAGTAACTTAAAGTTCTCACAGCCGCTCAGGAAATGTCTGTTGTTGTCGCAGTATGGACAGTAAACATTTACCCCTTCTCTCTTAGCAGCAATTGGTTTGGGTGGATAAACTGGTGATGCTGGGCTGGCCTTTGGTTTCTCTGTACCAAAGAGGATAGTAGTGGGTTTGCGGGGCTGTCTAGAGTCTCTCCTCAGCTCTCTCCTCGGCACTGTAGGAACTCTAGGCTGGCTGGTATAATCAGTTTGGTCATCCTGAACTTGTAGCTCGTACTCAAGCCAGTCTGCAAAGTCCAATAATGTGGGGATAGTGACATGAAGAGGATGTGTGTACCTCTTGAAACTGGACCTGAGATCATGTGGCAGTTTGCTCAACAGTCTCGACACGTGGGATCCACACTCCAACTCTACATTGCCTTTCTGACCCAGCTGTTCCAACATACTGACCAGGGAACGCACTTGGAGTCCGAACATGCGAAAAGTTTTCACATCTCCACTTCGAATGTTTGGTCCATCCATCAGTTCTGCAATGCGTTGTAAGGCTAGCTGATGTGGTTGGCCATACATTTTATTGAGGGCTCTCATGGTATTTGTGAAAGGAAAGTTTGAGTTACTGTATGAGTCTGCCACAAGTAGGGCTTCCTCCAACTTAAGATGGTCAGTGAGGATCTGATACTTGAATCGCTCTGTTGCATCCTCAGGCAAAATGTTCTCCAATGCTATTCTCAGTCGAGAGAACTCCCTAGGATCAGGGGATGTTAGGAAGGGAATGGTTGGAGCAGGGCCTCTGTACATTTTCTCTTGCATTGATGAAGGCTGATAAAACGCTTGTCTGTGGCCTGGATGCGGAGGCATACTGTCATGTGCTGTGGTGTCAAACTCTGACTGATAAGCTGGAAGGTGTTGGGAGGAACGAGAGTACATGGGTTGAGGTGGATCACTGTAACGTACTTGTGATGGTACTCTATCATGCATTGAGGAAGAAATGTCCATGTTTCTGAACTTCTCAGCTAATCCAATGCGCTCATCTATTGTAGCTGTGCACCGTTCCCTCATGGCCGTAGGCGGTGTTGGGGGGTTTGTCCGTGGGGCTGGAGTAGGACGGAACCGTTGTGGAGTCTCAGGGCTCACCACAGGAGAAAAGGGACCTGGAGATAGCACTGGTAAAGTCACTGGCCTTGAGGGGGCTCTCCTTTCTGCCTTAAGACTCTGAAGTTCGTGATGTAACAAAGCATTCTGTTGCCGCATCTCCTGTAATGCTGAAATAATCTCTGGAAGCTGGCTGGTTTGTAGCCTCAAGTCAGCGTTCTCGCGTTTCATCACCTGCACCATGGATGTAAGCTCTACTTCCTCTTCTCCTTGCCCATTGAAACTTTTACTTTGCCATTCATCTCTCAGTGTCCAATCCTCATGATCTAACTCTTGACTGACAGGAGAAGTCGATCTTGTCTGTGCTGGTGACGGGACTCTGCTATGGCTAAAGTCTGGGAATGGCTGTCGATGTGACAATGGCGCACCAAGCTCATAATCCACTAAATGAGTCGGTGGGTTGATCTTTCTTCGTGGACGCACGACAGGCACTTCTCCTTCGGGTTGAGACATCTCTGTAGCAATTCACTTCTCCGGCTCGAAGGACCATGAAAAATCTTGTGACTATTCGCTCTAATCGCTAGTTCAGGTTTGGCTGAAGGCTACAGTTTGTCCGGTCAGAACAATGATGTCTCACTCAGGATATATTCCAAATCGTTGTTTTATTAAATGTGCATAGATGTGTGGTTAGTGTGATGCATGCACACGCACAATCAGTAAAACTCCTCAGATTTGGCTAATACTCTGTATCTCACTCTAAAACTATATACACTTATTCAGCCGATCTACTTTTCCCTTCATTACCCGTCAACTCTCTTCACCGTCACTTCGCGAACTCCGGTGGAAAGTTTTGGAATAGTCCATTTCTCACTGAATGACAGGGGTGACTGGGAGAGTCCATGTGCCAAAGGGGAGCACTTTCTACAAGTGCTGTACTTTATTTCACTTAATATTCTCAAAACAACTGTGATAATAATATTGCATATGACAGTTCTTTATACTCATCAACATGCATTTCTATTCAAAGCCCAGGAAAGAGTGCTAGGCCGAGAGAATCATGTCCTCAATATATCTGGACGAGAGGAGCTCCATGTTTCATTACGCTGCGACAATGTTACTGAAAGCAGCAAACAGTCCAAAGCATCAGCTAATCAGGTAAGTGGCACAGTCATAAAACAAACAGATAGCTTAGATTTATATGCCCGGTCTACATTGTTTTCTCCTGATACAATGTAGTCAAACCTGTTTGCCCAGAGAGAGCAAACCTCTGCATAGTTAACATAAACTCATTGAGTAGTTCTAGGAAATCACCTGCTCTTTGACGCTTGGACTGGGACTAGTAGTGTGTAATATTGACCAAAAATGACATCTTGATATTTTCTATTATTTTGCCGAACCAATAATTTAGCTGAGTGTGTTTTTGTGCTTGGTTGTTTTAGGCCTGTCGCGGAAGATTTTCATATTCTTCATACATTAGTTCATAAAAGTGTTAAATTAAAGGCCCTTAGTTGCCTCTTTAAATTTATTTGCGGACATTTGAATCTTTATATTTAATAATAATAATAATTTGTTACATTTATATAGTGCTTTTCTGGGTACTCAAAGCGCTTTACATGGAAGGGGGAGTCTCCTCAACCACATTTTACTTTTACATTTTACCTTATTACATGTATGCATAATATTATATCAAAATCATACAATAAATTAAATTAGAAAAATAACGACAATCAGCAATTATTGTAGCAAAGCACAAAAAACACGATAAGTCACGCCAACATGGCTGGGAGCATCAGACCAAATGCGACAATGAGCAATTAAAGACATATTAAGATAATTCTATTGGCAAAATGGCTGAAAAATCTCTAATGCAATCAAAGTTTGGTGTTAATATTGAAGATGATACAGCGATCTAGGAGGAGTTCAAAAAGTATCTTTTTGAAGAAAATCAAAGGCGGACTGGAGATTCTCGGCATGACCCAATGAATCTATGTTTCATAATAATAGCCTAAAATTATCTAAATCAGGGGTCTCAGACTCAAATTAACTGGGGGCCGCTGGAGATAGAGTCTGGGTCAGGCCGGGCCGCATCAAGTATAACAAAACATGTATTTAAGTATTCCAAAAATGGAGCACAACTGATCCAATCTTCTCAATCTTTATTATTAACGTTTCCTCCGAACTGTTTCTCTGAATTTGAACATGATTGGTTCTTCATGAGCTGTAGTTCTGACAGTTGAAGTTAATTTTACAGACTTTCTTCGTCTTTTTCTTATACACAACATCTTTGTGATGATAGTCATATTTGCTTTTTATTTTCTTTATACAACACTATTATATTTATTTATTTATTTTTTTTTGAAAGGCACATTTCCTTTTATTATACTTAGAGAAACAATTACTGCTTTTGAAATAAAAATAATTCTTTCTACACATCTATAGTGCAAATTACTGATTTTGCACATATCAAAGCAAACCTTCTTATCAACCTGTTGGACCAAGTTCATTACATGAACTAGTTCAAAGTTCAGTTCACAAATTTTAAAATAACTAGTTCTGTTCATATTTCAAAAATGAACTAGTTCATAGTTTTTTTTCCCATATGTTGCTGCGAGCTTCTTTTTTATTATTAGGCTATTATTGTTGCCACAGCCCATATACAACCACAGATAACAATCATTTTATCGACGGGCAAAGTTTGCACAGACATGTAAGATTTCCCCATCCTCACCGACCTCATAAAACCCTTTTAATCGACGCCTCCTCGCTCCTCGGTTCACAGAGACTAGAATGAACGAGTTCACTGTAACGTTCATCAGGCAGTAATACAGTAGGCTACGTTCAGTTCACGTTCGCCCAAAATATGAACGAGTTCATGAACTATCGTTCACAACACATATTACAAGCTCAAAATGATTATTCTCACATTGTTTTAGAGCAGGGGTATCCAACACGCAGAGGTGGAAGTAGCGAATTACAACTACTCAGATTACTGTAATTAAGTATTTTTTTCATGTACTTGTACTTTTATGAGTATGTTTTTAAGTCTGTAATTTTCCAAATTAAGTTAAGTAATGTACTTCGCTACTTTAAAAAATCCCATTAATTACAAAGTACTTGTACAATTTGAATTCAACAAGTATTTAAATCTTTGACCAGCATTTGGGTATCCAATAGGGCTTGGGCGCCGCGTTGCATTCTGGGACGTGGCGGCCATGTTGGAGGCTTCGCAAATGTAAACATACCAGCAAATCGAATGAGGAGAAGCAGCTGAGTTGGGAGAAAGAAAATAAAAAAAGATGTTAAAATCCCTAAAAGGATGCGGAATTTACCGGGATACGTTTAATAGGGAAACCAGGGACCGGTATGTGGATAAAGCGGCACTTTTAACGGGTTGGATCCATTTGAAATTTCCAGTTTAACACACCTCATGTTGCCCAAAGTGCTTCACAATAACAAACTAAAAACACACAAAAATAGCAATGATAAAACATGACCACATCACATAAACACACGTAGACAATACCCCAATTAAGAAAATTCTCCATTAGAGTTTAGAAGTTGTTTTACCATAGCTTTGAACATCATGGATTTGGTGAATCGAATAGAAAGAGGGAGATCACTCCACAGTTTAGGGCCAGCATTTTGTATATATATATAAATACACACACATGCATGTATATTTAAGAACAAAAAATATTATTAATACATAAAATATTTATATACAATATAAATGATATATAAATCTATATACATGAAAATATTTCTTAAATATATACAAGCGTGTGTATTTAAAATAATTATACACAGTGCACCCACATATGTTACGTAAACACAAACTTTTGTTTTGGATGCGATTAATCGCAATTAATCGTTTGACAGCCCTAATTTAAAAGCATAAAGTATAAACAAATAAAATATATTGGAATTATAAAACTGAACTGGTGATAGTATTTCTTGAGTCATACACTTAGTCAAAACAAAACTTAATGGGTACCACAGTTGTCAAGTACACTGAACTGAGGAAACAGTTTGGACTCGCACATGTCTGTGGAGAACCGATGATCTTCTGATGCGAACATGCGTGAACCAGTTGACTTTTTATGGTTTCTCATGGTATATGTAAAAAGTTGAGTTGATTTAAGACTAGTTTACAGTGTTGTAGTACTCAAGACTCGGACTCGTCTCGGACTCGGTCTCGAGACCATATTTTAATGGTCTTGGTCTTGTCATGGACTCAAGTCTATTTGGACTCGGAATTGACTCGTACTCGGACTTTTTTTTTTTTGGACTCGGAATTGACTCGTACTCGAACATATTTTTTTTTTGGACTCGGAATTATTTCCGAGTCTACTAGAGTTCAATTAAAAATATTTTTCATGATTATTAATGTATGTTAATAAAATATTTCTTTAAATTGATTGACACGCCCAGTGATTGGTGATTTTCTAGTGCGCAACTGCGCATGACAAATTGTAATAAAATTACTTTTAACACCACCTACTATGTGGCCTTTTTACCCTAAACTGATCATATTTTTTAAACTCTAAGTAAATTCAGTAAAAAAAAAAGGATTTCTCTAAGTAAATAAAAGTAAATTAGGTAATCAACCCTCACTGGTCTCGGTCTCGACTCGGACTCGACCGTCTCTGGTCTCGGACTCGACTCTCTATGGACTCGGTCTTGACTCGGACTCGACTCTCTCTGGTCTCGGTGTCGACTCGGACTCGAGTGAGGTGGTCTCGACTACAACACTGCTAGTTTATACTTTAGACATATGGTGTACATGATGTCATTGCGTGATTGTGCACACAAACCATTTTTAGCTAATTTGCTGAAATGAACTGCCCCAAAGAACCAGTTTGCGGAAATGAATCCGTCTTCCCATCACTAATCGGAAGTATCACTTCACATCACTTGCTTGCCTTGAATTGCCTTGCATTTTGTACAATCAATGACTGCATGACTTTTATCATTTGTTTTTTCTTTTATTTTAGAAATGTGCAAGTGATAAAAGTATGGAGAAGGTTTTTAAACTGGACTTGTATCTCTTACGCTACCTCAGCGAAAGTAAAAAGCCGAATGCAAACTTGGACAAACTTCTATCAGCGCTCCACAGCACCTTTGAGATCCGCATTGAGTCTGAAGAGTTGGTGGTGAGGAGGGACCCAGCAGCTGAGGACTTGACCCTGAAGAAATGGGAATTTGGGGTCGACCAAGCGATCGATAATTTAAAGTCACGCTATATTACCTACTTTGAGGTCGATAGGGAAAAATCTGAAATTCTGGAACAACACCTTTGCCTCTCTGGTGAGGACTTAAAAATCTATTATGAAGAAGAGACGTGTTTCGCCGTCGTGGTTGGAGAGCAGAAACAAGTGGAGAAGATTTTAAAATTTGTAAGTAGCTTGCATGACCAACAGCAGATTCAAGAAGAGTGTCCTATGTCTGAGAAGCAATTCAGCCTCATCAAAGAGCAGTTTGAGTCCTTCATAAAGCCTAATTGGCCTGCACTTCAGATCGCTCAAGAAAAAACGGGCATTCTCCTTTTGAAGGGTCCTGAAAAAGAGGTCCATGCTGGCAAAAAGGAGCTTTTAAACTTGGCAAAAGAAATCAGAGAGAAGAAGATCCCATCACATCGTCCTCTTGTGACCTTCTTGGAATCAAGCGGTGGTATACAGCACTTCCAAACCCGATTCCAGGAGAGACTCTGCAGCCCGGTTATGCTCGAGACTTCAGGTTCAGATTTGCTTTTGTTGAGTTTGTCCGACGGAGCGTTAGAGGAGGCGGCTGTTGCCGTGCAGAGAGACCTGTGTTCGGAAACTGTGCGTCTGGAAAACACTCAGAAATCACCTGCGTTTAATAAGCTGAAGGAGGATTTGAGTGAAGCCGTCAAGCAGGCCAATCGTGAGAGTGTTAAAGTGGAGCTCAAATACCTGGATGAATCAAGTGTTGACCCCAAAGTGCAACTGGTGGGCTACACTACTGAAGTTAATAGGCTGAAGAACATTGTGCTGGAATACAAAAGAAACCATCAGAAACATCATGACTCCCTGCCGCTTCCCAAGCCAGAAATGGTGGATCACTTCCCTGAGATCTTGTCGATGGCCGGTGTAAAGAAGGGCAGTGTGGATATAAAGCCAACGAGGCTTCCTTCCCCATGCATCCACCTCACAGGACCTCGTTGCGAAGTTGAGAGTTTGAAGGACAGCCTTGAGTCGTTTCTTTCGTGTCTTGTCACTAAACGATTTGAGATGAAAGGACCTGGAGTTAAAACGTTCTTTAAAAGTGATGGTATGAAGACTTTAAATTTGGTGAAAACTTCTTATATGGTCAGCATACTGGCTATTGATGATGGCCGTAAAAGTGGTAATGTGTATCAGAGCTTTCCAGCGGCTGCATCTGCCCAATACTCTCTGGAGCTTGACAATGAGATACACATTAAAGTTGTGGTTGGTAGTCTTGAGCAACAACAGGTAAGTTGTTTTTTTTTTTTCTTCTCAAAATACTCCGCCTTAAAGGGATACTCCACTTTTTTTTTTTGGAAATACGCTCATTTTACACCTCCCCCAGAGTTAAACTGTTGAGTTTTACCATTTTTGAATCCATTCAGCCGATCTCCGGTTCAGGCGGTACCACTTTTAGCATAGCTTAGCACGATCCTTATGACGTAGGGTGTCGTGGGGATTCGTAAACCACAACGGGTGTCGGGACGCAGGATTCAATCGTATCATCTCGTATAGTGTGTCATAGTGGGCGACAACATACGTCGTGTCTGCGATGGTTTCACGACATCACGACAAAAAGACTAGCAGGTTTAATTTTTTTAACGGTCGTCCACGACAGTTTTGTCACATGTATGAGGTTGACCAATAGGAGCACAAGCTTTTCCGTATACAACTTTCAAAAAAGACAAAACGAAAGAGAAATGGAGTATGGTGAGATGGTGCTAACGTTAAAACTAGAAGTAAAAATATACAAGAAAACAATATTTTACCTCAAGTTCTCTTTGGAGGATTGACAGCTCATACTGTCCTCTTCGAGCAAGTTTCTCAAGTCTCACACAATGGCCGTGAGACACGCAATTCAACCAGTTCACACACTCACACGCCACACTGTGTTTTTCTCACGCTGAAAAGGCAATGCCGAGCAATCCAGGAAGTCACTCGCTACGAGTTTCGCCTTCTCGATGACATCACGCGCGCCGTTAAAGACGGCATGTGATGACTGGTCAGGAAGTAACGTGTAGTCTGACATGTGTCTTGTCCACGACGCGACAAGATTTTAGGAGCCAAAATTGCGTAATCTGACACGGTGACTATCGTAACAGACAAAAATAAATTGTGTAATCTGAACCAGGCATAAGACAGATGGAAAATGAAAAGTTGCGATTTTCTATACTGATATGACTAGGAACTATACTCTCATTCCTGCGTAATAATCAAGACACTTTACTGCCGTACCATGAGTGCAGCAGGCGCGATGACTACACAAACTTAGTCCCGGTCACGTTATAAGCCGGGGACTATTTTCAGGTGCTGTGTCATATCATTACGCCTGCTGCACTCGTGGTGCGACAGTGAAGCTATGAAGTAAGCTGGTACCGCCAGAACCGGAGATTGGCTGAATGGATTCAAAAATGGTAAAACTCAACAGTTTAAAATGAGCCTATTTCAAAAAAAAAACAGAGTATCCCTTTAAAGGGTGACTCCACCCAATTTGTTTTAATTCTTCCATCCTCTCCTCACCCTCATGCCATCACAAATATAATGACTTAGGCTCAATCCCAATTCACCCCTTGGCCCTACCCCTTAGCCCTACCCCTCCGTTTTGGGGTAGGGTGTCCCGATTCTTTTTGAGATCAAGGGGTAGGGCTACATAGCCATCGAAAAAGAGATTTTTCAGAGGCACACTCCAAACGGAGGGCAAAGAGAAAACTTCACGTAATGCATCGGAAATCACCGGCGAGATGGATCGCAACGGTTAGCGCCAGATGATTCCACCACGCACTTTATTTACTCTTATAATAACACCATAGTCGTTTATGTTAAGAAATGGTATAATAAATTACCTTTCCGATCAAAAAAGACATACATTTCGAGGAAGGGATGTTGTAATCATCATGTTTATTCAAAGTTAAGAGCAGCTGCGCTGATTGTCAGTTGTTGTCATGGAGAAATCCTGTACAAACTCTGTTACGGCAGAGCCATCGCCGACGACTGATGACGTATCGGGTTCATGAAGGGTTGTTCCATTTCGTAGGGGAATATTTCAACCCCTTAGCCCTTGTAACTCCGTTTTAAAGGGTTAGTTCACCCAAAAATGAAAATTAAGTCATTAATTACTCACCCCCATGCTGTACCAACCCCGTAAGACCTTCGTTCATCTTCGGGACACAAATGAAGATATTTTTGATTGAATCTGAGAGCTGGATCAGTCCTATACTGCCTAAGGGACTGGCTCTTGACGGCCCATAAAGTCATTAAAGAAAATGTTTAAATGTTCCATGTGCCTACAGCGGCTCAATTATAAGTTTATCAAGCGACGAGACTACTTTTTGTGCGAAAAAACATAAATAACGACTTTATTCCACTATTCCATTACTTCCTTATGGGCGCATGCGCGAGAACTGAGAGAAGGACGTTCTCCTTCGATTACTTTTTGTTACCGGCTGCTCACCGCTTAGGAGTATTACCGACACCTACCGTATAAGATGATGTGCTGATATAGCTGGAAGCGCAAAACTTTCTGTTTACAAGCAGAGGAAGATGCGCGCTATACATACGCTTTTCAATTAGCGTATTTTCCGCACTATAAGGTGCACTTAAAAGCCTTTAATCTTCTCAAAAAACGACAGTGTTCCTTATAATCCGGAGCGCCTTATATATGGATCATCATCTTATACGGTAGGGGGCGGTAAAACTCCTAAGCGGTGAGCAGCTGGTAACAAGAAGTAGTCGAAGGAGAACGTCCTCGTCTCAGTTCTCGCGCATGCGCCCATAAGGAAGTAATGGAATAGTGGAATAAAGTCGTTATTTATGTTTTTTTCGCACAAAAAGTAGTCTCGTCGCTTGATAAACTTATAATTGAGCCGCTGTAGGCACATGGAATATTTAAACCTTTTCTTTAATGACTTTATGGGCCGTCAAGAGCCAGTCCCTTAGGCAGTCTATATATAGGACTGATCCAGCTCTCAGATTCAATCAAAAATATCTTTATTTGTGTTCCGAAGATGAACGAAGGTCTTACGGGGTTGGAACAGCATGGGGGTGAGTAATTAATGACTTAATTTTCAATTTTGGGTGTACTAACCCTTTAAGGGCCAAGGGGTACACTCGAAACGAAGGGGTAGGGCCAAGGGGTGAATTGGGATTCAGCCTTACTGTTTTCACCAATGCCGATTGAATGAACTCATTTTGTATGATTTGTGTCATTAATACAGGCCGATGTATTTGTTGCTCCAATGATAAACACAAACATGACCTCAACCTTGATTGGATCATCCTTGTTGAAAAAAGCAGGACAGCAGCTTCAGACTAACTTCAACAAAGCCAAGGGAAAGCGTACACTTGCGTACGGAGACGTGCTGGAGGTGGATGCGACACCAGCGCTGGGATGCTCAAAGGTTTACTTCATCGAATGTGAGCCCAAAGGAAACCACAACAGCGAAAAAGTACGACATTAAAAAGGGTTAAGATGTTTTTTGACGGAATGGATGAGATTTACAGAAAAGATTTAGTATTTTTATTTTCTTTTGTTATAGGCGCTTCGCTGCGGACTTGGCCGAGTTTTTGAGCTATGTGAGCAGAATACTTGGGGTTCAGTTGCACTGCCAATAATAGGACCTGGCTTAGTGCTGTCCATACCGGTCAAAGATGCCGTTAATATTCTTACTCATGAGATCTGCGAATTTTTATCCCAATTCCCTAGTTGCCTGCAAACCATTTGTATCGCCATAATGCCTAATTACGCTCATTCTGAGGAAGTAAGTAGTCTGCATACTATACGCCCTCTATGCAATTAAGTTTATTGCAGAGATTGTTATTCCCAACCCTAATTTGGAAATATTTTGCAGATGTTCCAGACGGTCTGTGCGGATCTGAGCGCAAAAATGGTGGACAACGCAGGACAAGGCAAGAGATTTAAGAATTATGTGTTGCATTCATTGATCCCAACTTATTAATAATAATGTATTAGAAAATATAAGAGCAAAGAATTAATTCACTCAACAAATCTGCAAAAAGTCTGAATGGTTTCTTCATCTGCATGTCTTATGCTCTCTCCACAGCTCTGTTTCAATCACTGACCTCTGACCTTGATGAGATCATCATGCCAGTAGATAGGACTGAACTCCATCTAGTGTTCGGTGACATCACCAATGAGACTACTGATGCCATTGTGAACACCACTGACTTTAAGGACTTCGAGACAAGTGGTATTTAAGCAGATTTATAAATAACAAAAGCATTCTTGATATCAAATTAAACCATTTCAACTTTTATGGTTGAAATGGTTTAATTTTTACTTTTGACCTAATCTGTCACAGGAGTGTGTAAAGACATCCTCACCAAAGCAGGACCTCATGTCCTGGGTCAACTGACAGGAGGTAAGAAAATATATATATATTTTTTTAATATAAAATGAACTCTTGATTTATTATTATATTAAAATAGTTTTCAAAAACTGCATGTTTGATTGCAGTACAAAATGCAGTTGTGATATAAATACTTCAGATAATTACACACAGAGTTTTATAGTATCAGTAGATTGATCTATCCACATTAGTTTACAGTAGAAGCCAATTTCTAACCCAAATAAGATGGTGTGCTTCTAGAAAAGCAGGAGAAACTACATACCCTTAACCAAACCTGTTTGCAAAATCAATTAGAAGAGCAGAAGTCAAAAAAGGCAAAATTTTTGACCTTCAGACATTTAGCTGACATATTTAAAGAATAAACCAAAATTATATATATTTGACTAATAGGTGGTGCTGCTACCAAATGGATGTTGTGTGGTCAGTGTGAGAGACACGTACAACGTTTTGGTAGATAAGATGTTTATTGTTACAAAGTTACTGTACAACTCTGGTGGATCAACCTCTATACAACACAATACAATACAATAAAACCACAAAGACATCAAATGTAAACATTACAGTATGTGCAATAAAACAGAAAGTAACAAGTGTTAAAATAGTGTAGTTGTCGTATTGCACTGCTATAGATAGAACACAATAAAATAAAATAGTGCAAAGTAAAAGATTTCACTAAGAGGCAGGCAATATGTGAGGAAATGTTTAAAGGGATACTCCACCTTTTTTTTGGAAATTTTACATTTTACAACTCCCCCAGAGTTAAACAGTTGAGTTTTACCGTTTTCGAATCCATTCAGACGATTTTCTGATATTTAGAAGGATATCAGTAACAAGATAGTTTCTGGTCCCATTGACTTCCATTGTAGGAAAAAATATATACTATGGAAGTCAATGAGACCAGAAACCAGAATACCTTCCCATTACACCTCTGTCATCCAAATCGGCTTCAAGACCCAAGTCAAACTATCTTCTGAAACCCACGAACACAATCTCCATCTCCTTCCCCACCTCTAGGTGTGATTTGTTCCTCTCCTTGTCCAAAACCAAAATCGACAACATCCATAATCAACTGGCCCATAACCACTAAGAAGACCGTTATATACGCTAATGTATTCATGTAATACAGCTATTTACGACCAAATTCAAATGGAGAAATTGGATAGCATCAAAAAAAGACCGGTACCCCTGAACAAGAGGATTAAGAAGATTTAGCCCTTAGGATTCAAAAGTTATCGAGCATGAACATCAGCATCTTCGGACAGTCTGTGGTGCTGGATGTTTTGAGTCCTCTGTGTGCCAAATTTCATAACTTTCCCACAAACAGTTCTGTGGGCTGCCATAGACTCAAGAGCAGAAGAAGAAGAAAGAATAACACTAACGATTCCAATATATATATATATATATATATATATATATATATATATATATATATATATATATAGACATTCTACCATCTGAATGACTATTTGATTTGACTAGTTGATTATGAGAACTGACTGTTTGCTTACCATAAAATCTACTCCTTAATATGTGGCCTTGTTAAAAGATGATCAAACAATCGCTCTACCTGTGAATGGTCATGTTTTGGCTGGTGTGTGGTGTGCAAAGTGTGATTTATTTTTGCATAAAAGTGTGCTAACTGCAGAAATGTTAGAGGCAGCAACGTCATCTTTTTATATGTTCTTCAGCTCAGGTAACAACTGGACAGATATTTACGACCCCGCCAGGAGGATTTCCATGTAAGACAATCATGCATGTTTGTGGACAGAGGGACGCCAGTGTTATCAAGACCTTGGCCAAAGAAATAGTGGTTCAATGTGAACGCGGCCGCTACCAGTCTGTGGCCATTCCTGCTATCTGTGCTGGTCAGTAGCTTCATTTTTGCTTATAATGCAACATAATAAACCTTTTGTGTATGTTGATGTATTTTGTTTTCTTTTTGCTGGAAAAAAATACTTGCAGGACAAGGAGGTTTGGATGCAAAAGTGGTGGCCAAGTCTATTCTCGAGGGAGTAAAGGATGGTGTTCAAGGAGCTAATCTTCAATATATCAGAACTATTCGGATCATTCTGCTGAAGATTAATGTTTTCCTGGAGTTTAAAGCGATGGCACAGCAAATCTTTGGTGGTAATACACAGCTGACAGGTGAGGATAAATCTGTGCCATGCAGAGGCAATAACTGTTTTATAATACACATCCATGTCATGCATTTAAATAAATATATCTGATTCAGTGTTTTTGTTAATGCTTTTACAATGTTCGACTTTGTTAGTCATTAGCATCACCCTAGTTCCCTTGTCATAAAACCAATAGGATTTTTCCATCGGCTTTTGGATTATTTTTAGAAAAAAAGCTCTGCGACCAACAAATGTCTATGAAACGTTTCATTCATCAAGAAAATCTTCACAAATGAACTACACTGTCAGAAAAAAAGGTACAAAAGCTGTCATTGGGGCGGCACCTTTTCAAAAAGGTACACTTTTGTACCTAAAGGGTGCATATTGGTACCATAATTGTACAAATATGTACCGTGAAGGTACCAATATGCACCCTTTAGGTACAAAAGGTACCGCCCCAGTGACAGCTTTTGTACCTTTTTTTCTGCGAGTGTAATTTTAATGGATTTTGAGGCCTAAACACAATTGCTAAACCATAAACCACACTTCACCACCGTCACACGACCATCACTAAGCTTCTGACAACTCTTCAGTCTTTATTTAAAATCATTCCCTGAAACTTTGAGTTAGAATAGTACACTTATACACTCTTAGAAGAAAAGGTTCTATATAGGAGACGAATCCGACGAGCGTTCTTGTGTAGGCTGCCATCTTGTGGCGACGCCATTACTGAGCTGTTACACCGGCATAGACATATGCACCGGTATGTAAACAAACCTCGGATATAAGGTGATAACGCACCCTTGATGATAGCTACAGACAGGCAGACTTGTTGGGTTGATGATGTTAGACAGTGGCCTCCAGTCACAGATGAAGGTACAAACGATCTTACAGATTATTTATGAAAATAGCTTGGCAAGCAAGCTAGGCTAACGTTTGCTACCGAGGAAACTAAAAAAAGATCTGTCCATTTGGCAACAATAAATAAATAAATGAAATCAAATAAACAATTTCATGTTTTTCATTTGTGTCCATTATTTATCTCATTTTTACATTGCAACGGGCATGGGTAAGGTAACGTTACAGCTAGAAAGTATACATAATATCGACCAACTACTGTTTTTAAACCATGGAAAGAGGTCAATATAACAGCAGGAGAACAATTATGTCACATAACTTTACATTCAGCTCAGGAAAGCCATTTAATGACCATAGCATGTTAATTGAATAGAAAAAATAACAAGAGAGGAGATTTTGCTGATCACTATATCACACATTTATTATATTTTTTTACTTATGTCATTAAATAATTGTTATTATACGCGAATGTCCGCGTCTTGTACTTGCCCAGGAAATCTGTAAACCGTACGGCTCCAGACAGGGGCAGTCGACCCGGGGTATTCACAATGTTTTCTCTTCAAAATTGAAATTTTACTGCCACCATTGAAACAATTTATAACGGAAACTGTTTACCCACTCGACATTATACAAGGGCTAACGTTGTAACGTTAGTGACAGTTGTAAATCGCGAGCTGTTTATTCCAGTGGACGCAAGTTGCAACTAAAACAATAGAAGGCAATGGCGCAACGCTACCCAGCAACAGCTCAGTAATGGCGCCCGCTTACTTCCAGTAGTTTCGCCGGATTCGTCTATAGGTTCTATTAGCGCTACGTATTTGGAACCCCTAAAAGGTTCTATACACTCTTAAAAATATATATATATTCTATATAGAACCCCGGGGTTCCATACTTGGCCAATAGAACCTTTTACCAAAAAAAAAAGGTTCTAACATTTTGGAGTTCCATATATGAAGTGGGGGATGGAACCATTTCTGGTTCTAAATAGAACCATTTCATCAAAGAGTGTATAAACACAAGGAGGTTACAAAAGTGAAATAGTCAGCAGATGACTATAAGGTAAAAGCTTTTCTTTTCACAAGGGAGTTTTACTGATGTGTTTCATGTCATATTAAAGCATGAAATTATCTTGAGCTTGACATTATTTCAGGCATTTCACCACAAACCCATTACAAACTTTGACTTCTGGACGATGGAACCGAAAGTGCTTAAATGCTCATTTGTTTCCTAGTTTTTGCCAACAAAAATACGTCATTCCTGCATCACTATTGACAATATTGCACTTTCCCCTTTTTTTTAGCTCCTGCACCACTTGTACCAACAAACGTAACCTCCAGAGGGCGCAGTGGATCAACTATATCTCGCAGATCACAATCATTTTCTTCACTACACTCTCTTGATTTGAACTCTCTAGTCAGCACTTTGCCAGTCACAGAGAACACAGCAGCATTTCTAGTGATCGGTCACACAGAAGATGACGTGTCTGATGCCTGCAGAGAACTTCAGCGGGCGTACGAGAGCCAGTGCTCCACACACTCCTTCCACCCAGAGGAGATTGAACGTCTCACTCAGCATGAGATGAACCAGCTGCTCTCTAAAGTCGATTCCCTGCACCTGAAGCTGGAACAGAGCGGCTCGGGAGGATGGGAAGTGAAAGGGCTGAAGGATGGAGTTAATGAGGTGGTTAGACTCATACAAGATGCACTTCGCAGGCAGGTGAGAAAGACAACATTAAAATAATCACTGAGTATATAATGCATATCATTTGTATACAATATATATAGTGCATATATAATTTAATGTTAGTTTGAGCTAATCACCTGAACATGATGTGCATATAAATTTAATTTTGATCAAAAAAGTCACATAGTAAGCCTTCAAACCACGGGAACAAATGATAGGCAACATAAAATAAACAAATAAATGAATGTGCAATTTTTTTCTCTCAATCTCTAGGTAAGAGAGAAGGAACAGGCATCCCTCTTCACTCAAGTCACATGGTGCATTCTGGGACGACAGGGCGTTTGGCAGAAGGTGCCCGCAGAGGAGAATTATAAGCTTGAGAGAGGAGATGTGAAAGATGGTATTATAGATGCACAGGGTGTGAAATGGACTGTGGATTTGAGTAAGTTTGAGGCCACAGCAGGTGATACAGGACTCGTGACGTCTCTCAAACGACTGGAGAACTTTTCAGGTAAAAAAACCTTTCATGAACATATGAACCACTGATTGGCATCTATAATATGAAATTAAACATCCTTTAAAATAATCAAACTGAATCAAAACCTTCCCTATTTTACTCCTTATCAACTTTATTAATCCCACAAGGGGCAATTAGGTAAGAGTAGCATGCATACAACAGTACATAACAACATGCAAGCAGTCAATGGGTCTCATTCATGAAACATTCGTAAATATGCGAGTAAATATGAGAGTGATTTGCACGTAACCGAAAACTTTTCTCCTGATTCACAAATACTTGGTAAACATCAGATGTGATGGTGAAATGTGTGTGCGTGTTAAAAATGGGATGCGCGTGCACGTTCATTCTCAATTACCATAAATCCCGCCCATTATATCCGACTGACAACTAGATAAAAGGCATATAATAACATGAATGCGAATGAAAAAGAAAGATTTCTCGGATGCAGAAATTGAAGTTTTATTATCAGAAGTTCATTCAAAACGCCACATTTTATTTTCAAGCGTACATAGTGGCGTCCCAGATAGCAGACTGACATTGAATCAACGTGGAAATATGACATCGAAACATGATGCGTCATTCTTTCAAAACTAACGGAAAATCAACTTGAAATCAACGCGTTGTTTCAACGTTATGAAAGCAAACCAATTTTCGATTTCATTTAGCTTTGAAGAATGCCGCGTCTGACGTTGGTTCAACGTTAATTCGATGAGCAAATCAACGTTGTTTCAATGTCATGAGAGACGTCGTTTCCACGTTGATTCAATGTCAGTTTGCTGTCTGGGGTATCAGGTCCTAAAAAAATGAAGCTTGGCAGCATATTACAGATGCAGTTAATGGAGTTTCATCTGTCAATCGAACAGTCCCAGAAGTGAGAAGAAAATGGTTCGACATTAAGCTTGACGGCAAAAAACGAATTAGTTCACTTCGGAAAAATCGTATTCAAACTGGAGAAGGACCGCCATCGATCACCAGATCTGCTATTACTGGCTCTCATAATAAAAGTAAAAAGAAAAACCGTATGTAATTACTATATAAAATATTTTTTCAAAATGCTGTTTAAATATGTACCCCCGATTAAGGTGAATTAAATGCAGCCTTAGTCCCTCCAGAAAAACGCGATTATGCGATCGCTGAATTCAATGCAAAATCAGCCAAAGTCCGCATATTTATGCGGGGGTCGCATTTTTTCAAATACGCCGCACTTTGCCGCATAAATTGGCGATTTCCGTGCAAAATATGCGGGGTTTGCATAATTTCATAATCCTCGCATTTTCGTTGCAAAAAAAGTCATGTATCTTAGCAGAAAGTTGAAAAATGTTGTGTTTGCTTCACACAAGAGCAGCCATTTCCCCCTGTTTCCATGGGAACGGTATGAAGTGACGCAATTACGCGACGCCAGACAGACTCACAGAGGCGATTGACATCTCACAAATCGAACTCGTATAACTGTCTGTCACACGTTCTACCGTCACATCGTTACTTAATAAACAACATAAGATAAAAGAATTAACATCAAATAGAAATTACCCGCACACATGTGGTGTTTGAGGCGCACATATAACACTGCAGAGAGTTCAACAGGGAGCGCGGAGCTCTTAAAGGGGCCACACCATATTTACACTCTTACAGTCTGAAATAAAACAAGATGAGAAATTAAATATTCCCAGCACTTTCTATGATGTAGTACGCTTGCTTATCAAAGGAAGTAATAAGAAATGACTCTTTCATTAGCCTAGTGAGAACAGGATGTTGGGGGAATCACTTTTTTTAATCTTTTTCATCAAACTGCAATTTTTGCAAATTCCTGCAATTTCATCGCGTAAAATTGCATAAATATCCTGCATAATCCATCGCATTTTTAAAGAAAATGGGCCGCGTAATCAATAAATTTTTGCCCGTAACAATCACAAAAAAACTCCGCGTTTTTCTGGAAGGACTGAATACTATTATGGTAAATGTTATATATAAATCGCTAATTTTTTCACAAATTTTTGGAAATTACCACCACAAAATCAGTCATTTTGATCGCAAAAATCACAAAAAAAAAATCGTGAAATCCTGGAGGGACTGCTTATTAATGAGCAAAACGCTCAGATGTTAAGCGTACCATTTGCGCTTGGCTGGGAGCGGGTGTAGATTTCTTGCGTACCAAAACTAACATTTGGAAAATACGAACGTTTTAATGAATCCGAAAATTTACGCCAGAACCACTTTACACAGGATTTACACACAAATTCGTTCTGCTCGTGTTTCATGAATGAGACCCAATGTGTGCACTTAAAAAAAAAAAAAAAAAAAAAAAAACAAAGAACCCTACACAGAGTTTAAAAGTTTTATCGCTGAAGTTGCATTTTAGATTTTGCATTTCATTTGCTATTTTGGATTTCAGATTTCCCTTTGCCCATCGAATGGGACAACATGAGTCTCAGTGACCTGTTAAAGGTGATCGATTTAGATCAGCGATCTAAAGAGTACCAGACCGTGAAGGCAAACTTCAAGAAGACCGTCCGAAAAACCGTGCTCAAGGTTTGACACCAGAAACCATCCTGAAGGACATAAAAACAGCTTTTAAAGAACTACATAATATCTTAAATCAATTTTAAACATTCACAAGTGCTGTATTTTTTTATAGTTAGTCTACAGCAAAGCCAGATTACTGGACTAAACATTGTCTATTATATTCATATTATTATATTTTTGTCTATAATGTTCCACGTTTTGATGTTGTATGGCAGTATAGTCACCGTTTGCTTCTATGAAGTACAAGAGATGTGAATGTGAAGTCCATCAAATATATTTGTTCATGGTTATTTGTGCGCAAATGTGTTTCAATAGATCGAGCGCATCCAGAACATGAACCTTCGGCGGTTATATGAGGGACGCAAAAAAGAGCTGGAGAACAGAAACGGTGGCATTGTGGGAGCCGGAGAGAAGATCCTTTATCACGGCACATCAGAGCAGTCCTCCTCAGTCATCATGAAGACAAACTTTAATCGCAATTTTGCTGGGCAAAACGGTAAATGTTTGTTTTTAAAGGTTAATTAGCTAAAATAATCCTGTTATTATTCATTTGTGACCGATATTTACTTTTATTGTGAGTTTATTGATACACTCACAATAAAAGAGAGAAAGTTGGGGAAAGGTACACGAGCCGAGCCTCGTACAAAAAGTACCTATAAAAAGTCCATATGAATCACTTATAGTCTTCTGAAGTCATGCAAGAACTGTGGGAGGAACAAACCAAAACTTAGGATGTTGTTCATTGAACAGCAAATCATGGCAGAATTGCAATTTTTGGGTGAATGTTACCATTATTATTTTATTTGATGGACTGATAAATCACTGATCTCATTAGGGGTGGGCGATATGGCAAAAATATCATATGACAATTTTTTTAGGAAAATCACGATCACGATTTTTTATCACGATTCTTTTTCAAGTTGGTTTTAATATTTTTCAAACTAATGTCCCTATGTTAAAAACAAAGCCTTAGGTAACAAAAGAATTTACCCTCTCAAGATGTTTTAAACCCGAATAAGTTTCTTTCTTCTGTTGAAAATAAAAGTTATTTTGAATAATGTGGGTAACCGAACAGTTGCTGGTCCCCCTATAGTTTTTTTTATAGGTTCTCTCCTGGAAGTTAATAGGGACCAGCAACTGATTGGTTACCCACATTAAAAAAAAAATCGTCTTTTGTGTTCAGCACAAGAAAGAAATTAATACAGGTTTGGAACAACATTAGAGTGAGTAAATAATGACAGTTTTTTTTTTTTTTTTTTTTTTTGTGAACTATCCCTTTAAGGACAAGCGGCAGTACTATTTATTCCTGTCGCTTTTAGACCAGCACGCGACGCGTTTAATATATTATGCCAGATATTCTCTCAAATGTTTGCTTTCACTGTAGACATAGCCTGTTTATGTAAACGTTGTGTGTATTTAACAGTATTAGCATAATAAGACTCGAAAGATAACTTAGTCCAGTATTCAGGCGCTGTTTGACCTATGTGTTTGACAGGCTTCTAGTTCCTGTGAGTGTCGGGGGTTATGCGGCCAGGAAAGCGCACGTTAGAACAGCGCAACAGCGCGTGAATTAAATGTTTAACCGGCAAGGCTTACGCAAATAATGAACTTTTGTGAATTCCAGTGTCCCGTACCTATTCATTAACGTGTGATGTGTAGGCTATACGTCGCGTTGTACAGTTAAGAGACGGAGGCGCCAGAACTGAACTGATAGAATGCACTGTAACACGATACTACGATATTTCTTCAAAAGTAGATCGCGGAGACATTTTAATCGTCCACGATTAAAAATGGTAATATCGCACACCCCTAGATCTCATTGGTTGTTCATTTTCAACATATAATGACTTTTGCGTAAACATTCACGCCACTTTCGAGTCAAGTGGCGTGTTCTTTACGCATTTTGAGCTATCCGCGTGTACGCGTGTATGTCTACGCCATTAATTCCGCGTGTCTGTACACGCCGTCAAATGTCTGAGCGAAACAAAGCAAAATGTAGATCTACATCTGGGGAGCTATCTTCTTTTTTTCGTTGGATGGTAAGGGAACAGTCATAAATGCTAATATATGCAGTAATGTAACTGTAGTATCTTGGAGTAACCACTAGGTGTCATTGTAATATAAGTGTTGTGTTTGATCTGGGAGACAGACATGTGATATGCTGGCGGCCTGGTGTGTGTATGGGCAAACAAACCAAGTAAAGCATTGACTCAACTTTATGAATGTAGTTGTCTACTTTATGCAGTGTAAAGATACTACAGTAACGTTAAAAGCGATTATGCGTGTTGATGGCGCGCCAAAAATGGAAATACGAATTGGCGTGTCATACATGAGATCGGTCTGTCGTTTTGAAGACTAATCGATTAACTCACTCTGGTGACTTTTTATTTGTTCTCAGCCACCGTCTACGGTAATGGGACGTACTTTGCTGTGAACGCCAGCTATTCTGCCAATCCTACCTACGCGGTTCCAGCTGCAGACGGGACTCAGCTCATGTTCGTGGCTCGTGTGCTTACGGGTCATTACGCTCAGGGTCAGACGGGCATGAAGACGCCCCCTGTTCGCGTCGCACCGGACCACAATTATGACAGCGTGGTGGATAACGTCCAAAATCCCTCCATGTTTGTGGTTTTTCACGACTGCCAGGCTTATCCGGAATACCTCATCAAATTTATATAAACTTCAACCAAAACCAACCTTGGTTTGTTCCCTGTAAAGTCAACCGGATGAACTCTGAATGATCTATAAACCATTGCTATTTACAGTTGCTTTTAAATATAGTCACTTTTATTGAAAGGTTAGATTAGGAATCGCATAGCAGATAGATACCTCTTCATGCTCATTGTATGAGTGTTTTAGTGACCAGTATTATTCAGATTACACAATTTAATGATTTGAGAGCAGAAAATGTACTATATTCATTGACAAAGTGGTTTATTTGATTATTATGGAACATTTACTCAGATTAAATACTTCAGGGAATTGCACAGGTATTTTCTGACTTGTGCAATCCACACAAGTGATATTTAGCTTCAGGGCGATCTATTCATCACTCTTTGATACAAAAAAAAAAATGTTTTGAACTCTTCTTTCTCGCTTCCCCTATCTTCCCAGGCGCTCTTAAATGAAATGTAGGCGTTTGTGCAATATTACGTTTATGCAATACTTTGTATTGTAACAGAAGTTATTTTCATGTATTATTTAGCCCAGTTTCTACTTTTCTGACATTAATTTAGCGTTTTGAACTGTAGAACAGACTAATCAGCCTCTATTTTATAGTGAAAGCCTATTGACTTGTAAACTTTCAAAATGTCTATGATTCTTAATCCATCCAATGGTGATGATGTTATTGTGATATTTGCATACTGGATTGTAATTGTTTTTTGCTTTTCTGTCCTCACAGCACTTTGTTTTAAAGAGTAACTAAACCCAAAACCAACTTTTTTTAGTTAATGATCTGTAAGAATGGATCTTTATTAATAGCCTACCAGTCATTGATTCGAGTAACTAATTTGACATTTGTGTATAAAGTGTTTTATTTCTACAATATATAGTGTAAAAACGTCTTAGTGCTGCCCTCTTCAGGTTGAACGGTGGGTACTGCAGTTGAATTATTTTCCTATTGGATGTTCCGCACTTCGTGACGTACTACGCAGGTTTCAGCTCACCACGCTCTTGGTACGAGCGGCAGTATAAAAACCAGCTTGTTTCGTCAAAACCAATGTAGCGAGTCAGGAGTTGAAATTGCGAGTTTTGAAAACGATCAGGATAGTGTTTTAGCATCTATTTCGCCCCATAGATATCTATATAAAGGCTAGATATCTCGTCCACGCTGCTGCCTAATGGAGGTCGACGTCTGCACCTGGCGGCCATCTTGTCACAGGCAGCTCGCTCACTCGTAACATTGTGTTAATGGTACATGTACTATTTAAATGACCATAACTTGCTCGATTTTCAAACGGTTTGGTTTGTTATAAACGTCAGAGATGTAGTTATGACACTGCATACTTATGAATAAAAAAGTGTATAAATAAATAATCATCCAGATAATTATAGCCACGTTAATAACGTTTGTAAGAAACCAAACCGTTTGTAAATCCGTCAAGATTTCAACGAGATAAGAGTATTTGTGTTCGTGCTGACCACTCATCTTACATCAGCTTGTCTGTGACAAGATGGCCGCCGGTGATGACGATGGAAACTCCGCCGTAACACATCTAGCCTTTATATTATATGTTTCGCCCCCTCTATCTTCGCTGGGGCCTGCCCAATTTTCAACATTTTTCAAATATTGCCAGTGGGTGGACTGGAGTCAGGCTCTGACCAGGGGTTTAGTTACCCTTTAAGTTGAGTCACTTATCCACGAGAACAATAAAATGTTCTTTATTAAGAATGATAAAATGAGTTGATGATGTTGTTGTAATAATTTGCACACTGGATTGTGATTGTTTTTTGCTTTTCTGTCCTTTCAGCACTTTGTTTAAAGTTGAGTCACTTCTGCAAGTGAACAATA